CAGCTCCGGGTGAGTGGGCTGCTTCCGAGGGGACTCGAGCAGGACACCCAGCCGAGCTTCACGCGCGTCACTAGCCTGCTTGGCCCCTGCCTCAATCAGGTCATCCGTGAGAGCAAAAAATTGCTCATAGTCGGAAAGACAGGAGTCTAGGACTCCCTGTTCCGCTCCCGAAGCCATAATCTCGGAGCATGCCTCCTCCACTACGGCCCTTCGGGCCATGACTTGCTCGAGCCGCTTCTCCAAGCTATGGATTCTATCTGGTCTCCCTATCAAGCTGTGAGCATTCGCAGCCCAGCGCAGTTCCGCTTGTAAGCGAAGCGTCGGTGACCGGTGTGAAGGCATCATTACAAGGTACGATTATCACCGTACAAATTACTTTAATTTAAATTTAGTACAAATTACTTTACACAATTAGTTTAATTATCACAATAAAAATAATACAATACAAAATACTATTTATCCAATCAGTAAATTATACTACGCAATTAATTTCTTACCACCACGGCTTACGGGCGTGGCTCAATTCTAACACTTAACAAAGTAAGCGACCAGATAAAGTAAATAAAAAACTCAAAAAATACGATTACTACACGGTTCTATACACCGATCCTATGCTAACAAATAACAAGCGAATAAAACAAATTATTATTACGTATTGCAACAAACACAACCAGCAGCCACGTGGTTACAACCGCTATCTTGCTACCAACTTACGTATTGCGCTGGGAGACTACGCTACTCCTACCAAAATGTTACGTATTGAGCTGGGAGTGGTTTCAAAACCCATCAGGAAAACCACGCACTGCTACCAAATGTTACGGCCTCTAGTTACCCGGGCAAGGTCGTGGGACCCGGGCCCATCAGGGGTTCCACTCGACGAGTAACAGGAGGTCGGCCTAAATGGCTTGTGGAATATTACACGTTAGCGGTAAAAGGGGAACCAAACAAAACTTACCTATTTCTTCGAAGTAGGGTCAACCCTAGGAAGATTCAGGTGTAAGTGTGTGCGTGCTGTATTGTGTTGTGTTGTGTTATATTATGTAACCTGACTTCCCGCTGGTTGCAGAACCGCCGATCCCAAGGCTTCACCTCTATTCTTTATATCGAAGTGGCAGTCCGTCACAAAAATTCAAGAGTCTCGGAAATTATACTCGTTTCTCACTTGTTAATTGGAGTCAAGTCAATTATCCTTAGGTTAATCAAATAAATTCCAACAAGATTTAACCGAACGCGCGTTACAACAACTCGACATTTGTGAAAAATGCAATATCACCGGGCCGCGTTGCAAACAACTCAGGTTCGCGAAGTATAGGCGTCAGAGGCAGCGGGCGACTAAGCTATTAACACGACGCGCAACTACTCAGTTCCAAGCTCTGCGGCAAGTGGTCCCAAAACGCCGACGCCGGCGCGGCCGGACGCCGCACCAGCCCGCACCCCCCGCGCCTCAGCCGTCAAGCTCGCCTCCCGCTCGACCCGAGCGCCGACGCAGGCCGCCAAACGTTAAATTAGGCCTAAACATACAGTGATGGCAGTGTTAGGATTTTTAAAGATTTAAAATAAGGAAAACAACTATCTGTTATTTTCAGACCACACATTGATCTTACACATCGTTTTTGCATCCTAAATACAAGCTCCCTATCAGAAGACCGTCCCCAGAAAATAATGCCATATCGCAAAACGGAAGCAACTTGTCCATGGTATGCAGTCAAAAGAGCCTGAATGTTAACCTTTTTTGAAAGTTGAAAAATTGCATATGCAGATTTGCTGAGGCGTTTCCATAGATCCTTATTAAGAGGCTTCCAAGTGAGTTGGTTATCAATAATTATACCCAAGAATTTAGCCATAACTGCTTCCTCAATATTAAAGCCTTGGTAGGAAATGTTAATATTTAGGTTTTGATGGCGTTGGTGGAAGTGCATAATTTTTGTTTTATTTAAATTTATAACTAAATTATTATTATTAAGCCACTCTATAATTTCAACAATGTCTTTTGAATTTACAATCCTTTCCAATTTTCATGACAAGTGTCGTTGCATGTTACTTATTTAAAAAAAGGCAAATTGTGCAATAATTACGTGTCAAAACAGCGTTAATTGGAATTTAAATATAGGAGGCATATCCTACAAACAGTAAATAAAAACTATTTATATTTTGTAAATATCAGAAACAAAAATAAAGAAATATTGATGTGTCAAAAACAACAGATATTTCAAGTACTAAAGATATAACAAAATTTTACCGATAATCTGGTCGCTTTTGAATTTGTACTTGGTTTATTGAAAAGCTAAAGAGATATGACAAAATACAAAGAAAGATATCAATTTAATGACCTACGAATACACTCAATTTTAAAAAAAAATATCAAATTGTAAAATTGTTCCCTGATAACATTAAAAAATTTGCAATAAAGTTTTTTTTCGATCTTCTGGTTACGTATCATTACTATATACTATATACGAGTATTCACCTCACACCTCACTACCCACAAAGCGTTGGGTAAACCCATTTTAATATATTATGTTCATACTTTTTCATCTGATTTCGCGCTAGCCTTGTGTTGGCTTACAAATATATACAATATTGGTATTAATTTACTTCTATTACATTTACTTCTATTGCTAATTTTCGTTATTTTTAATTTCCAACCATTTTTGCAGTTTTCCTGAAGACCCGTACTTAAAAATTCATAGTAGACATACACACTCGACTGATTAATGATTACGGATGGGTTGAATTGTTACGGCCTAGTAACCCTTCAATGAATGTTACTATTCCAAACTTTGAATAAATTTTATTATTCCGTAAATACTGTTTATTTATTAAAGGAAGTTGGTACCTTTTTAATAGACCAACATTTATATTCAGTTAGTTTTGTATTCATAGCAAACTATTACAATTTGTGGATGTTAACTAACAGTACCTGGATGACCAAACTTTGCTCGGTTTTAATTAAAAAATTGTATGCAATTAGTTTAGTTAAAATTTTCGTGTTTTTAAAAAATAGTAAAAAAAGGCTCGAATAATAGATTTTCTCACAAAAGAAGGGAACTTGAAAAAAAAAAAGAAAAAAGTCGGACCGAAGACAGGACGCGAACCAAGGCATAACGATTTCGCGACCGCGCGATATCCACTTGAGCTATTACGATCATTAACAAAATGTCAAAATTTACCTTCTTATATTGTAGCAGTTTTTCATTGCCTAAAAACACGGACAACAAGACATTTTCTAAAAATAAATCCTAGCTAGATCGATTTATTGCCCTCCCTCCCTCCCTGGACACAAAATTTTATGAAAGTCGTTGTATATATATATATACAAGAATTTCTCGTTTAAAGGTATTGGTTAAACGGACAAACACGTTTAAAAGATGACAAAATGTAAAGAAATACTAATTTAAAGAAGTATACGATTAAGATTTCGTCCGCGTGGAATTCATTCATACCACGTTATCTCTTTGAGGATAAAAGGTAGCCTAGCCTTTTTAATCTTTCCAGCTCTCTGAATACCAAATCTCGTCAAAACCAGTTGGATGGCTTAGCATTTCCTTTACAAAATTTTATACCAATTTCGCCGTTTTTATCCAAATTGGCGGTTTAATGTCTAATACCGACTAAAGATTTTACAGATTGAAATAATACAAGTTTTAACGGAATTTATCGCGTATATTTAACTATTTAATTACCCGACGTTTCGAGAGCTTTACAGCACTCATGGTCACGGGAAGGACTGAGATGTTCAACGTCCAGATGTCATAGTTAACCGCGGTTAATAATAATAATAATAATAATAAGATAGATAGATAGAAGATAGATAGGCGTAGGGAATTGACGACCCCATCGCCCGCTGACGTAACAGATAAGTGACAAAACTGCTCGTCAACGCAGTCAGTCAGCGCCTTGCGAGAGGTGTGAGCGCCGTGCCGCGGCAGAATTTAGGGTGCAGAGGCCCGTTTGTGCTTATGGCTACACACGAAACGGTGCCGGGCCTGGGCGTCTCCCGTTAATGGACGCCCAAATAATGGATGATGGATAAAAAGATAGTGCGCAAAGGGCCGCTGCCTGGGGGTCGCCGGGGCGCGTCTGGAGCTGGCGCTGGACGCGGCAGCATGCGGGCCGCCAGCCGAGCGCGAGGAGCTGCACGGTCATCTACCAGCCCTCCGCATCCATCATCCCCACCAGAAGGCTTGGCGTCGGCTGGGTCTTCTCGGACTCAGCAAGCGGCACCCGCCGCTGGTGGAGCACGTCGCATGCGTTGGTCACAAGAAATGAATGCAAACGCACTGCGGGCGTACTTTAGGGGAAAAGGGGAAGAAACTGGATGTTTGGCGTATCGGGCTAGGATGCATCGTCTTTTTGCTGAGCTGGAGCCATCTTTAATCGTCACAGAGCAAAACCTGGCAGACCGAGTTCGGTATATCTTGCGCTCAAATATATTTGAATTCGCCGAACTCGAACGGCTACGACGTGAGGCTGTTCCCTCGTCGGATGAGAATGCTACGGCTGAGGATGCGGCGCCACAAATGGTAGAGCAACCCGCAAACGTGGATGCCGCCGTGAATACCCCAGTTGTGGTTGATTCAAACGATGATGGAACAGTCGCCCAGGAACTGGAATTAGATCATATGAGGAGTATATTGGAAGAGGCGATTGTGGAAACGCGCAGTACGCCTCTCGAAAATCGACCGCAACTTCCCCGCATAGCCTTAAGCAAGCGGAATCGGGCTGTTGTGAGGGCTCTGAACCCAATGCTGGTTACCTATTTGGAAGCCAGCCGGGACCTTTTGCGAGACGGACTCAATTCTTTTTGGCGCCGCGCTGGCAGTCTGCCGTATCATAGGCGCCAAGGTTTCCACGGCTGGACGCGCTACTGGCCATAGTAGCGCTATCCCAGCATGGAGAAGAAGAATTGAGGAACGTATCGCAAAGGCTAAGCTCTCATCGGCAGACTGATATGCTTCAGATCAGGCAACAACAGGCCAAGAATTGTGCGCACCGTCAGGATGGCGTTTGCTGGGACAAATGTCAGTTTGTCCCAGCCGGATATAACGCAAAAACTGACGGAGCGCATAGATGATCTGAAGCAGAGAATCGCTGCTTGGGGAAAGCGGATTCGGCGATATACCGAGAGGTCGACACGGTTCAACCAGAATCGTCTCTTCCAGAGTGATCAGAAGAGGCTCTATGAATCATTGGAGCGACCAATGGTAAGTGGAACGGGTCCAGCACCGAATCAGGCCGACACTGTAGCATTCTGGCGCGGCCTGTGGTCAGAGCCCGTAAACCACAGCGAGGGCCCTTGGACGGAAGTTGTGGCGAGTCAGTGTGCGGGTATTACGCCCATGGACCCCGTCATCATAACGCCGGATGACGTAGCTGAGGCGGTTCGTAGGGCCCCGAACTGGAAAAGTCCGGGGCTTGACGGGCTGCATCACTACAGGCTGAAGGGGTTCATGGTGTGTCACTCTGTGCTCGCCCGACAGTTTCAAGAGGCTCTCAACCAGAAGTCGCTCCCAAGCCTCTTCACTACTGAGATCACTCATTTAGTTCCTAAAGACCAGGGTACCACAGACCCGAGCAAATACCGCCCCATCACGTGTCTACCGACCATATACAAGACACTAACATCCATTTTGAGCGCGAGAATCACTTGTCACCTGGACTCAAATCAGGTGATGTCGCGCGCTCAAAATGGATGTCGGGGCGTGGTCGTGGGAACCAAGGAACCACTCCTCATTGACGCGGTCATTGGCAAAGTGGTGAAACGCAACCGTCGGAACTTCTCCGCCGCCTGGATAGACTACAGAAAGGCATTCGACTTGGTGCCCCATACATGGCTAAAGAGAGTCCTCGAGCTGTACAAGATAGACTGTACAGTTAGAAACTTCCTCGAGCAGTGTATGGGGCAGTGGAGTACGATCCTTTGTCATCTAGGCGAGCGGATGATGGCTGCGGAGAACCACATAAGGATAAGAAGGGGTATCTTCCAGGGCGATTGTCTGAGTCCAATCTGGTTCTGCCTCTCTCTGAACCCTCTCAGTACCTTACTGGAGGGCTCCGGGTTCATCGGGGGATTTCAGCTACGGAAAGGAGGGACAAAAGTGACCCACCTTTTCTATATGGATGACCTCAAGTTATTCGCCTCCAGTCGCTCCCATCTTATGGAATTGCTAAACATCACTTGTGAATTTAGCAATTCCATTGGAATGGAGCTGGGGACGGATAAGTGTGCGGTACTCCATGTTGAAAGGGGAAGGGTTGCTAACTCTGAGGGCGTAGACTTATCTATACCCGTCAACTTAAGGACCCTTTCTGAGGCTGAAACATACCGATACCTGGGTATGTCACAAAACATCGGTATCGATGAGACTGGTATGAAACAGTCAGTTTGCGACGTGTTTTATGTACGCTTGACCAAAGTGCTTAACAGCCTTTTGTCCGGTGTGAATAAGGCACACGCATATAACGGCTGGGTCATGCCTGTCCTCATGTATACCTTTGGCATACTCAGGTGGACTCAGACTGAACTTAACGCCCTGGATAGAAAAGTCCGCACTACAATGACGTCCCATAGGATGCATCATCCGAGATCGTCGGTAATGAGGCTGTACTTGCCGCGGAAGCATGGTGTTCGTGGCTTCTTGAGCGCGCTCACCATGCATAATCGCGAAGTTTGCAGCCTCCGTGATTACTTCCTGGCGAGATCGGATGATCCATTCTATAAGGACGTCATGTTTTGTGATAAAGGGCTTACCCCTCTATCCTTAGCCAATGGTAAGACCCGGCAGTGCCGAGCATTTCCGACCGGGAGACCGTATCGAAGGAGAAGGAGCTCCATGGGAAGTTCTACAAGGCTCTACATGAGCCTTTTGTAGACACAGTAGCCTCCCTCCACTGGCTACGCTTTGGTGATCTCTTCGGGGAAACCGAGGGTTTTGTCTGTGCAATACAGGATCAGGTTATTAAGACCAACAACTATCGGAGATACATCCTAAAGGATGGCACCGTCGACATCTGTCGAGCTTGTCGCCATCCCGGTGAGTCACTTAGGCATGTTATCTCCGGTTGTTCGGCGCTTTCTAACTCTGAGTACTTGCACAGGCACAACCTAGTAGCCAGAATTCTACACCAGGAGCTCGCTCTGAAATACGGTCTCGTGGATCGGAAATTGCCGTATTACAAGTACTTCCCGGAAGCCGTGCTCGAAAATGATCGCGCCAGGCTCTATTGGGACCGGGCCATCATCACAGACAGGACTATTCTTGCGAATAAGCCTGATATTGTGCTGATGGACCGGGCACAGTCAAGGATATTTTTGGTCGACATTACCATTCCGTATGACGAGAACCTCGTGAAAGCCGAAACAGACAAGCAAACAAAATATCTGGACCCGGCTCACGAGGTGACCGACATGTGGGGTGGTCTGCCGACCGAAATTATTCCTGTAGTCGTCTCTGCAAACGGGCTAATCCCAGTCAGCCTCTCGGGTCATCTGAGGCGGCTGGGACTACGTGGCGGACCGCTCCAGGTTCAAATGCAGAAGGCGGTGCTCCTCGATACCGCCCGCATCGTCCGCCGGTTTCTTTCCCTTTCCCCCTAACCCTCGGCCGTTTGGTCTCCCCTGCCGAGGGCCTCCATCTGGTTGGGCTTTTATTTATTTATGTACTTTTATATTTATTTTATGTTATTGATATTTATGTATATTTGTCTTTTCATTTTCATTTATAATTATATATTTATAGCACCCAACCAGATGAGAAAACTATATAGATACCCCAAAATAATAATAAAGCCTCTTTATTCCTTATCCCTACATTTCTACATTTTACATTTCCATGTTGATTAGTACTTGTTGTTAGTATTATTAGCTTATTTCATATTAGTTATTGTTTGTACGGTTAACTGTGTATATTTTCAGAGATATGGATCCCATTTTGAGTAAAGGCCTCCTCCATCTGATTCCACATTTCTCTATTTATACTTTTGCTCATCCAATCTTTTCCTGCATACTGTATTATGTCAACGGCCCACCGTTTATGTGGTCTACCAACTTTCCTTTTGCCAGATACTGGTCCCTTCCATCGTGTGGTTTGTATTGTCCATCTATTATCTTGGTATCGTGATATGTGTCCTGTCCATTTCCACTTTAACCTTAAAGCGTTCGTGAGTGCATTTGTTATTTTTGTTTTTTTGTCTTATTATATTGTTTTTGACTTGTTGTATTTTATTTATATTTAAGATGCTCCTTTCCATTGCTCTTTGTGTTGTATATATTTTCTGTCTCACTTTGTTTTTATATGTCCAAGTCTGGCAGCTATATAATAGACTAGGTAAGAGGCAGGTGTCCATTACAATACTCTTTATTTTTATACTGTAATTTCCTTTTAAAATTTCTTTTAGTGACCAAAACTTTCTCCATGCAATGTTTTTTTTTCTTTCTACTTCGTCTTCGTTGTTTTTTTTCATGAAGGATATTTGTTTCCCCAAGTAAATGTAGTTTTCTACGTATTCTATATTGTTTCCTTTTACCTTGATGGGTACGTTGTGACTGTTGGTCATTATCTTAGTCTTGTTTATATTCATTTCCAAACCTACTTTTGAACTTTCTTGGTCTAGTGAGTGTAGCATATCCTTAAGTTGTTTAGCTGTTTCAGAAAATATGACTATGTCATCTGCAAACCTTAGATGATTTAAACGACAGCCATTAATATTAATGCCATATTTTGTCCAACTTAACTTTTTAAATATATTTTCCAACACTGCGATGAAAAGTTTCGGCGACAAAGGATCGCCATGCCTGACTCCTCTTTCTATTTTTATTTGGTCACCTCTCCTTTCAAGTTTAACCCTGCTTGTACTATTTAGGTATATATATTTTATGATGTATGTATTTATCGTTTACATTTGACGTTTTTAATGCATTCCAGATGAAACCATGGTTATACTGTCAAAGGCTTTGCTGTCGTCTATAAAACCGATATAAAGAGATTTATTATATTCATTGAATTTTTCTATTAGTTGTTCTACAGTGTGTATGTGGTCAATTGTGCTGAATCCTGAGCGGAAACCTGCTTTTTCTATTGCCTGAAAAGCGTCAATTTCTTTTGTGATTCGTTTTAATATGATAGATGTAAAGAGCTTGTACATACTTGTCAGTAGACTTATGGGTCTGTAGTTTCCGATATCTAACGGGTTTCCTTTTTTATAAATTAATATAATGTCAGATGTACACCATTGCTTTGGTACCATTTCTGTGTTTAATATCATATTAAAGAGGTGTGTTAAGTATCCAAGTAAGATGGGGGCACATAATTTAATGGCTTCGTTTGTTAACCCATCGGGCCCTGGACTTTTTTCATTTTTAGTGTTTTTATATGCGAGAGTATTTCTTCTTCTTTTATTGGTTTAACTATATTTACTCTAGATTTATTATCAATTTCTTTTTCCAATGTACTTTCGTCTTCCTTCTTTTTGTATAGTTGTTTATAAAATTTGGTGGCGTGGCCTATCACATCTTTTCTTGACTTAGTCTCTTCAGAATTGTTTTCAAGTATTTGTATCCATTTCTTTTGAAGAGTTAGTTCCTTGAAGGCTCTCTTAGTGCTTCTAAAACTTTTTATAATTTTTGTTATTATCATTTCTCTATGCTTAAAGTAGTCGAGTTATATGGATTTATTAGTGAGTTTGAAGAGTTTGGTAAGTTCATTTTTTCTTTTCTTTTGTTTTTCTTCTTTGTGTTTATTAATTCTGTGCGTTTTTTAATTAGTAGTTTTGTTTGTTCGCTAAGTATTGAATGTCGTGTCTTTTGGGTTTCTTTATTATTCTTTAAGCTGGATATTATATTTTCTTCAAGTAAGTCATAGAAGGTTTGAACATTCTCAGGTGTGGTAGTTAAAATGTCTTCGAGATTGGATTTAAGGCTTTCAGTGTATTTTTTAATTTCATAATCTGTTGTTGAGTTTTTTATTGAAGTTTGAAATGTTTTTCTACTTTTTTTTTGTTTGGTATATATGAAACGTTGCTTGTAGTAATCTGTGGTCCGAAGCAAATTTGACTTGGTTTAGAACTTCAATGTTTCTTAACTTGTTAGGTTTATTAGTTAAAATAAAATCGATTTCATTTTTGATCTTCTGATTAGGTGACGTCCAGGTCCATCTTCTTTTGGCTTTTTCTTGAAGAATGTGTTCATAATTGACAAATTGTGTTCGAGAGCAAAATTTATTAGGACGTAGAAAATCTCAGTCCTTCCCGTGACAATGGGTGCTATAAAGCTCTCGAAACGTCGGGTATTTAAAAAGTTAAATATACGCGATAAATTCCGTAAAAACTAGTATTATTTCAATGTGTTGTGTTCGCGTAAATATAAGAAATCATTATGTAAACCAGTACGGACTAGTAATTGCAAATAAAATACGCCGATTAGAAGATCTAAAGACTAAGCGCGCAAGATATCTAA